AAAGAAAACAGGAAATTCCAGAAACATCTGGGATGCATTTTCATTTAACTACAACAGTGGTTGAAAATCACTGCTGTATCAAGTCACTACCACTGACAGAGGGATGCTGTATCTTTGGGTGTATCAGGCCAGAATAAAAATTGGGAAACACTACTGTAAAGTTAAGTGCCATGAAAACTGGTCAGATGGGATCACTGGATGGGAACAGGTGACCAGGTCACAGGTAAGCCTAGGACAGAAGTCAATTTAATGCACTAAATTGGAACAGGCATTAAAAAGCATGGATTCTTAGCCAGAGCCCCAGCAGGCCCCATGAACCCCGTCCCGCGAGGTTCACATGTCTATGCATTTTTTCTAGGACGCAGAAAAACATTATTAGAAGGATCATAACTCCCTCTCACCCCAAAGATAAGAATTAATATTCTTGTGATTTGCTGGTTAAGGGAACAGGAGTGACAGGGCAGGAGCCTGAAAAGGTAACAAGGTCAAGTAAATTCTAGTTTTGTTTTGCTTATTGATAAGATTTGAATATGTTTTAGAGAAGAAACTGGTGGCTAAACTGAGGATAAAAGTGAGGTGGATGGAATGGAACACAATCTAGGATGGCCCAGGAAAAGATGAAATTAGAAGCCCAGGCAGAAGGATTAACCTTGGAAATGAAGAAAACTTTTGAGGTTAGCAGAACATTCTCATCTGAGCGACATCCATTTTCTCAATAAAGCTCAAGGCTGGGTCTTTTATGGGGTTAGACTGAAGATTTCAGAAGAACAGGAAAAAGAAAACAAGAACCATAATGGAAATGACATAGAGGTGCAATCTGCAAAAACCTTTTCAGATTGTGGCTCTTTTCTCTTTTTCTTTCCCCTAAACATGGGAGGACCTCAAGGCTCAGGTCTCTCCTCTGGAAAACTCATTTCCTCAAATGGATCCATCCACCTCAGCTTAGATTTACTCACTTATCTGTCTACCTTTTACTCGTGCTATAAAGGCTGCAGAGAATATGGCTTCTGTCTCAAAGGAGCTTATGGTCTGATGGGGATAAACTATGCACCCCAAATTCCGTTAGACGAAGTGGAAGACGCCGGTGACCAGAAGAGAAGAGGCGTTTTGAGAGTTCAGAGACAAGTGGAGGCTCAAGGAAAGTTAGAAAGGTGGGGACGAGGGGAGGCGGGCAGCTGTCGTTTTAGAAGGGTGGGCAGAATTTACACCGGTATAGAAGAGGGAGGTAGAGAGCATTCCAGGAATTGAAAGCAGTAAAGGAGCGGATCCAGTTAATCGATAAGCAGGAAGGGTGCCTGGGAAAGCTGCATTTCAGGGCGCAGCGGACTGCAAGACAAGGAAGGGTCAGAGCTACTGGAGTCAGAGCGTGGAGGGCCAAGACGCGCGGTGGCAGTCACGGTGTGACAGGAACCTACGGCCGCAAGGAGCTTGCTGGGCTGGAAGCGGCGCAAATCGCGGCACAGGGTACGCGGTAACCTCAAGGGCGCCGAAGACTGGGCGTGGGAGAATGCGGAAAGCAAAGGCCGGCCCGAGCGGGCGCGCCTCTGCGGACAGGCGGCCCTGGCTCGGGCCTGGCAGACGGCGTACCTGGATGCTGCCGCTCCCTTCCTTCCGACCGAGGCCTCCTGCCTGCGCGACCTCCTAGCGGGTCCAGAAGAGTGAGGGTACCGCCCAGGGACAACCCTGCACGCTGAGGCGCTATCGGTGCGGTACGCCACCCTTTCTCCCACCCCCAAGCTCCGCTAAAGCTCTAGAATTCCGCTCCCAACGCGAGGTACGGCCCCGCGCGCCAGACGCAGCATAACCCCGCCCACCGAGACGAAAGCCCGCGCCGACTGCAGCTCCGACTGGTTGATGCCTTTGAACATCCGGCTTCCGGGTCAGCCGCCCTTACAACGCATCCTCAGACGAGCCTTCCTCTCGGAGAGGCCCGTTGGTTTCTGGGGGTTGTAGTCATTCTCCATTGAGAAAGGGTCTTTGGCGACCCAAACTCTGGAACGGGAACTTTTAGGATACTCAGTCACCACAGAAAAGAGAGCCGGCCATTCCCCAGCCTCCTGCGGCGCGGTGACGTCTCCGGTAGCTGGGTAGGTTCTCTCGGAGTCCGCCCTCTGGAGGGGGCTGCGCGGCCCCTATAGCCTGGAGCTGCCCTCTTACCCTGGGCAGGCCTTCAGCCGAGCTCAGGAGCCCGACCCGCACTGCGAGGTCTGGACCGCCGAGGATTGCGGCAGGTTTGGCCATGGCCACGGAGTAGGCGCGAGGGTCGAATCTCCGTAGTGTTTCTGTCTCGTATGTGACCTCCCCGCTTGCAGGCGGCTTGATAAAGCCCCAAAGAAGCGCCGGGAAGGGGTTGGGAGGGAGTGCCATTTTGGGGAAGGGGGACTGCGTGGGCACCCCTGCAAGGGACCGGGAGTGGCTGGGATGATTGAGGAAGGATTTCTTTTCCTTTTTTCGTTTTTCCTCCGGCATGAGTGAAAACATATACATGCAGTGATACACGCCACTGCATACGCCCTACCACATGCACTTAAGCGCCCTTCCCTAATTTGTTTCTGCAAAAACCACGCTTTATTAGGTAGACAAGTAGGCCTGGTTCGAAAGCCTCAGATTCAGTTAATTGTGGAGTGAGCAAAAGTAGGCAAAGGTTTTGGACTAAGAGGGTCGCAGCTGCAGCCTAGGGAAGGGAGTTGTCTTTCTGCCCCAACTTTGACCTCCTGGGGAAGCAGCTCTGGATCCAGTCAGCGCCCAAACCTGGGCCCAGCCAGATCTGGGTTGACTGTGCCCCTCACTCTCGCTGCCTGATCCAGGCAGCTCCGCCCTTCACTGGTAAGACTGACTTCTCAAGGGCTAGGGGCTGAGAGGAGCCTGCCTCCCTGGTTTGTCCAGGAGTAAGGGAGGGTTAACATAATGCTGGCCAGAGCCACAGCGTGCCAGATACTGCCACACAGGAAGCTGAGACCCTCTGCTGGATGTGACAGGAGCCCTCGGCCTCTATTTATAGCCAGGGGTCCAAGCTGCTGACCGGTGACATTCTCCGGCTGCCATTCCATCCTGGAGCAAGGCCACTGCAAAGCACACTCCTCTCCCTCCTCCCCTTCCTGTTCTTCCCTCCCCCCAGCTGGTGCGGAGGCTTGAATTTTTTTCCTCCTCCAAGAGTTTCCCAGCTCCTGAGGTGCTGAAGTAGTCAGTACCTCGTGAGAAGGCCTTCAGGTGACAAAGGAGAGCCGGCCTTGGAATTCAGACCACAGAGATGGGGACCTGCTCATCCTCCCTTACCCACTCTCTGGCCCCCTGGCCTCCAGATACAGGAACTGGTTAGCTGCCCTGGCTGCTCTGGGGGTAGCTGAGAACTAGGGACAGGGTTTAGGAGGTAAGGGGTGGATCCAAGATGTCCTGGGGAGATAGCAGCAGGAGGGACCCCGCTGACACCTCCCCCCACTAGAGCTCCTGAGAAGGGAGGCAGGGCGATTACAAAGGTCACAGGGAGTAGAGTGATCTGAGCCTGCTGTGAAGAGGTGTAGCTCTGTCAGCAGATTAAGTTCTGCTCCCCAGAGAGGGTGCTGGCAGGGAGGGTGAGAGAGGCTTGGAAAGGTCACACATGGTGGGGAGGAGCTGGCAAAGAACTAGGAACTGGGAAGTCCCAAGAGAGAATGACGAGCCCCATGGCCAGAGATGCCAGCGTGGCAGCAACTCTGGTGCCAGGCAGCCTGGGGGAGGGGGAAAGGGGATGACCAGAGGTTTCTGAGGAAACCTCAGAAGAAGCTGAGGTTTCTAAGGAGAAGCTAGAAGGGGGTTGTATTTTGCGAACAAACAGAGATCCATTGATGCCGTGTGAGGCCTGGCAGAGGTCTATGTCAGCCCAAAAGCCCAGACCCCTCCCTGCAGCCCTTGCCTCATCCCTCTTGCAGCTGAGGTACTTCTTTAGCCATTAACTGGGCTTGGGGACAGGAGTCCTGGTCTGTGTGAGGCAGCAGTAAGCAGCCCTTGCCTTGCCTCCCTCCCCTCCCCCCCCACCACATACCCAGAGCAGGCAGCACTGGGGCTGATCCTACCCCTCCCAGAGGACAGGGAGAAAGCCCCACACATGGAGAGGGACTAGGCAACTCCACTTCTGGTGCGATGAGGTGGCAGGAGGCTGCGGGCTGCTTGTGCTTCAGGATCTCCAGGCAGGTGGCCGGGCCCACAGGCACCTGTCCTCCAGTGAAAAGCTGAGAAGACGCTGCTGTGTGGGGAGTCCCAGAGATCGTGGTGGCCAGGCACCCCAAGCTTCTGCCTGTCTCCGCTGGGGTAAAGAGGCTGCCTGGCCTGGGCCCCAGCCCTGCTCACATGTGTTCTGGATGATTCTGCAGGCAGCGGATGAATTCACCTACTGGCTGGTTCTCATAGCATACCTTGTACACAGCCATGAACAGAGGGAACCTAGAATGGGGAAGGACAGAACCAGCTTGGCCTCCAGGCAAACCCCCTAACCCTCCACTCCCTACTCTCCCGCCTTCGAGCTCAGGCAGACTCTGGCTCTCAGTTTCCCATCGCTGAGAATGTGTATTTCCTAGCCCTGGGGTTTAGGGTCAGGTTTTTATTGCCCTGCTCCCTATCTCCGTGATTCCCTGGCATGAACTTTTTGTTCCAATTAGGCAAAGCCTCAGTATCATCAGCTGTAAAACGGGGTCAGTATGACAAAGTAGTGAAGAAGTGATTACGAATTATGTGAAGGTGCTCAATAAATGCCAGTCTCCTTCTTCCCAACCTGTTGCCCAGGCTGCTCCCTTTACCAGGAGGCTTTACCCTGACCAGCCGTGAGCTGATCTGAACCTGTTTCATACTCTCTTGCTCTAGGATTCTTTCTCAGATCAACAGAGTTCTGCTCTGATCAGCCCCTCACCCCCGCTGTCTTGTGCTCCCTGAAAAGGAGCACCCTGAAGCAGAGACTTTCCTTTTCCTCACACCTCAGCACCCAGGACAGGATTCACGGAACAAAAGGGTTGGCCTTGGGGGAGCAGCTTAGACTGAGGGTGATGGACAAAGAGGCAGAACAGTCAGAGGAGCTTATTCCTGTCCACCCCCATAGCAGAGGACAAGGAGGAAAGGACAGAGAGCGGCCACGCAGAGGGGTCCTAGTAATGTGGTATAGAGAGCACTATACCAGACCCTCGCCAAGCTCTAGGCTCTGTCTGTAAACATAAGATAACATTTCCCTCTCTGCCCACTTCACAGATTGAGGAGGGTTCAGGAAGATGATGAATGGGGAGACCACTTCCTGTCGGTGGTTCCCTCCATCAGTGGGGCTGGGGCAGATGCTTACTTGTCCAGCAGGCCCTTGTGCTGGAGGATGCTGTGTAGCTCCCGGGCTGTCTGGGGCCCCTGCAGCTTCTGCCCATTCAGCATCTCTTTCTCCAGCTGCTCAATGGACTGTGAAGAAAACACAACAGGCAAATGGAAATGGGAGAGGAGGGTTGTCAGTGTGAGACAGAGAGTCTGGGACTCTGGGAGGAGGTGGGTCTTAAGAGGAAAAAAAGGCTGGGAATGTTCCCAACAATCTTAATGTCTGTGTTCAAGAGATGCCTCAAGCCACGTTCCTCTCCCTTAACACCTACAGGGCCCACCCTCCATTATTCATTCTCCCCAAGGCCCACCTTTCCTGTGCGGGCGAAGGCCTCGGCCACCTTGCGGTTCCGCCCTCCGTAGCAGGTAGTGATGAGATCAGCAACACCGCAGCTCTCCAAGAAGGTGGCAGAGGACACAGGGCCACTGCAGAAGAGCTTGGTGAAGGCGATCATCTCCATGAGCCCCAGTCGGATCACGGCCGCCTTGGTGTTGTCGCCAAAGCCCAGCCCATCACAGAAGCCAGCCCCCACGGCCACTATATTCTTTGAAGAGTGAAGTCACGGGTGAGAAAGGATCCCCTCCCGCAGGCCCCACTTGGGGCCTTCAGCACCTGCCTCATGCTCCTCCCATCAGCCATGACACGCCCACTGAATAAGTGAAGGAAGGTGGGTAGGCTCCTCAACTATTTTCACCTCTTGGTTTTCCCACTTGCTGCACTCCCTTCTTTTAGCCTGGGCTTGTGCTTTCTGGCTCCCCAACCCGGCCCTATACTCCATCCTTGAGGACTTCTCCTGAAAACCAGTCTTCTACCTCGCCCTCCCAACCACGGCTATTTTGTTCTATGCCCCCGATATACATCCATAGGTCTGTCCAGGATCCAGAGTACTGGCCATCAATCCATCTGGGTGTCCTGGACATCTTATCTCCCATTAGCCTGAGTGCTCCCCCAGGGCATCTCCTCTTCCCCCTGGACCAACCTTTGGAGCCAGGGACAGGGATGTCCCACAAGGGGCTATAGGGGAAAGGAAGAAGGAAGCCCAATGTCTGATGGTAAGTAATCGGCAGACCTGAGCGATCCTGGCCTTGCTTCTGCCATTCTTCCCATGTGTATGAGACTTGGTGGGGAAGGGGAGTGAGTGCCTGGAGTCCCAGCAACCTTGTACAGCTAAGCCAGGCCCTCTTTCAGGGCCTTCTCCTCACCCCATAGCTGCCTCTGAAGCCCTCTCACCTTTAAGGCCCCACAGATCTCTACTGTGTCCACCTCTCGCACCACCGTGATGCGGAAATTGGGTGTCTGCATCAGCTCTTTCAGAAGCTGTCCCTGGGCCAGGTCCTTGCAGCCTAAAGTAGGGAGGGGATAAGGCTTTAAGAAGGGACTCTTGACTCCTTCCCACAACTGCCCTGAGCAGGACCTACAGCTCTTTCCGTAGGGGCGCCCCAACTCCCCTCACCTTTGATGCTGGGATCTTCTTCCTTCACCTGCCTTGTGGGGAGAAGATGGCTAAGTGGGTGGGGAATATAGCCTGGGGAGGCAATGTAACTGGAGTTGCAGTATCTATGTGGGTGGTGGGGTCTCACCAATGGTTGTCTCACAGAACTTCTCATCAGCCACCTCGCTGGCAATGTTGGCCCCCATCAGCACGCTCATGGGGATGCCAAGGCGCTCCCCAATCACTTCAGAGATGAGCTTCAGCCCGTTGGGGCCCTCGTCTACCCCCTGGGCACAGGATGGAGCTCAGGCCAGGTGCCTTTTATCCCCAACTGAGGGCTTCCCACCTAGAAATCCTGCCCATTGCAAATTCACTGTTCATCAATGCCCCTCCCCAAAGGTCCTCCCCTATTCCAATGCAGCCAAAGCTAGCTGTGAGGAGAGCAGGTAACACGTGAATACGAATCCATCTGAAAACTCTCCTTCCACAACCTACTTCTCCAAGGTAATGTATCCCCGCCACATCCCTAAACAGCCCACTCCTGAGTACCCCCAACCAACTTCCTTCCATCCCAGCCACTGCTCCAAACCAGCTTCCCTTCTCAACTTCTCAAACCAGCCCACTTCTTGTATCCCCTAGGCATCCCTTGTACACCTCCTAAACTCCCCAAGACATCTGCCTCCAAACCCATCTCTTATCTACTCCCCAACCAACCTCCCCTTCCCAGTGGCCCCCCGCATCTGTTTCTCAAGCCTCCCCAAAGCCAGCTCCTCTCTTCAGAAAACTCCTGGCCTACTTCTGCTGTTTTCTGTTTGTCGCACTTCACCCACCCTGAGCCCCACAGCAGTTAGCTGCATCCCCATCCACAGGAGGGTGTCCCTGGCACCTTAATAAGAGATATGCCAATGGTGTCTGCCTTCAGGTGGCCCTTGAGCTGATCACAGATCTTGCCGATGAACTGATGGGGTACCACGAAGATCAGGATGTCAGCATCCACTGCAGCCTGGACCACATCTGGGACAGCCACCTGTGGGGGTGACCAGTGTTCATGGGCCTGACAGACTGCTTCTAGCCCCTGTGGAGCCCCATGCAGGAGATCTAGGAGACAGGGTGATGCTGGTGGGGAAGAAGGAAGGGCAGTTTGGGAGTTGAATCTGGAAGGGCTGAACCTGGAGGAACAAGACACTTCTATTCCTTCTGCCTAGCCATCATTCCCTCTAGGTTCCAGCTGTCCTGGGTTCTTGAGGACTCCTGGAAACCTCCTCTCAGCACTCTCTTAGCCCTTGGCTGTGGGGCAGTGAGGGAGGCCAAAGGAGGTCTGGGCTTGGCAAGAGGAAGAGGCCAAGTAAGATTTCATCATCCTGCTCCTTAGGGCTCCCAACTGGGCAGGGAGAGCCCCCGTCTTCCTGCTGTCTTTCCTGCTCCCTTTCCAGGTGGGGAGTAAGCCACATGGATCTGACCAAAGACCTTAAGTCCAAGGAGCAGTCTCCACTTCTACTAATAACCCAGTGAATGAGTAACAGGGTTAGAGCCCAAGGCAGGCACTACCCAGACCCCAAGTCTGGGGGCCAGAGAACCTGTCTGGTTGCCACAGAGACCAACTTCCTCATCCTCTCCCCATCCCTTTCCTGCCTGGGAGCCCGCGGGGTGGGATGGAGATGGAGGGGTTCTCCCCAGTCCCAGGAAGTGCTCAGGGGAGCAGTTTGGGGGCTGTGCCCAGGGACGCCCTGTGCCTGGAGTAGCCCTCCTGAGATGCTTCTCAAGTACAGGTGGCACGTGAAGTGGCCCCCTCCCAGCAGGAAGCACCCCCTCCACTTCCCTCTCCCTTCTTACGGGGTGTTGGGGCTCACCACATTGGGGGGCAACTTGTGCCCTGGCAGGTATTTGACATTCTCATGCTGTGTGTTGATGACCTCTGTCAGCTTTCTGCCCCCGACGTCTTCCTCAAACACCCACATGGTCACCCGTGGGTCAAAGCGTGCCAGCTGGGCTGCATTGCCACCCACAATCTTGGCGATGGCTGAGCCCCTGGCAGGAGGGGGAACACAGAAAGTGGAGGAGCGGGGGCGTGAGAGAGGAACGGTGGCGGGGAGGGGACAGTGCTCCCCCTCAGGATGTCACAGAAACCACTGGATTATTTACCTGCCACCTTCCTTGTCACCCCCTCCCTGTGACGCTGCGTCTCTCCTGACCTAGCAGTAGCAAGGAGACTCAGTTTCCTTTCCCTCACACTTTGCTGCTGGAGAAGGGGGCCAGCCTCCTAATCTCCCCCCCCCAACCCCCTAACCCAGGCAGCCTTTCAGGCAGGGAGCACTCTGGGGGCTCCCTTCCCGTGGCGAACAGGTGCTGCTGCCCGAGACGCAAGGGCCAGGAGCCGTCTGGGCATTGTCTGTCCTGCCAGGGTAGGCACCAAAGACAGCAACAGGGGTGGGCCAGGAGCTGGAGGCATTTTCTCCCCACCGGCTGCCTCCTGCCCACCAAACCTCCCTCCCTAACCTCCTGTATACTTGAGGGAGCCTCCCCTTCCGCCGCCCCCACCCCACAATACTCCTTGACAGAGCCGCTTACCAGTTACCAGAGCCTACAATGCAGACTTTCTTGCCGGCCATGGTGCCGCTTCGCTGCCTGAGCCACCAGCTGGGTGCCACTCTCCCCAGCTCCTCTGCCGGCTGGGAGCATATAACTCCAACACACGTGGGTGCAGCCAAGCCCCGCCCTCCAGGGGAGGGGAGGCGGGCACCCAGGGAGACAGAGTCTGGCAGGGCCAGGGAAAGGGAAGAAAAGGGTAGAGACAGGTGGGGAACAGGAATGGGGCCGAGACCAGGCCTGCTTTTCCTCTTAGGTTTGCCCGCTGACGGGGCTGGCACGCTGCTTCCCTCGGCCCCAGCCCAGGTCCTCACTCCCTCCCTCCCCGCAATGGTTTCATTTTAAGGTCTACCAAGACCAGGCCCAGATAAGGAGCGAGTGCCCTGTCCCCCCCACTCCCGTCCCCTAGCACTGGAATAAATTGTATTCAGTCCCAGCAGCAGATACAGGCATGCCTTATTTTCCAAGGTAGGAACCGCCCCACTTGTCCCCCTGAGGACCCGGAAAGCTGCTCTATGGGTTCATCCTCTGGCGGCGACGGGTCACGTGTTGCCCCACGCTAGGCCCACTGCAGGGCTGTGGGTGAGTGAGGTGGGTGGGTGTGGCCCCTTTAAATAAGAGCACATAAGAGGTAAGGGCCTGCTCTGGGGGCAACCCAGCCCAAGGATAAGACCCCATGGGCCCAAGAAACAAAGCACACCAGTGGGCCTCTCCTCACCTGAATGTTTCCCAGGAAGGGGGGCAGGAAAGCCCAAAGTTGGAGGCTCTGATGCCAAGTGGCCCACAGGTGTTTTGCAGACTCTGGGCTTGAGGAGGAGGATAGGAGAGAAAAGGCAGCCCAAGTGTTCACTATCCTTGAGAGGTACTGAGCTTCCTTCACTTGTCTTGGGTTTCCAGGCTAACCCCACACTAGGGGCGCCTTCAGGTTAGAGGCTAGTTTGCAGAAGCCAGAAAGGGGAAGGGAGGCAGGACCTGGGGCAGTTGTGACCTCTGTAGAGCTTTGTAGTCTCAGGTGCTGTAATCAAGAGCAAGTGGGGTGTGTGCTTCTGGGGGTAGGGAGGATGGAAGGGACACACACGCAGTTCAGGGCTCTACATCGCCCACAGCAACCTGTTTAACTACGAGGGGGAACTCTACTTTCTAGGCTGATGTGGAGAGTGGGGCAAAGGCCCCCTACACTCCAGCTGTCTGTGCACCTTGGCCTAGAAAGCAGACGGCACTGTGTGCTCACGTGCTGACCTCCTGGCCTGGTCAACTGCTGAGTGGGTGTTTCCATCCCCCTGGGCTGCTGCTGGCTGCAAACAGTGATAAGCACTGGGCCAGAGGGGAGTCTGTGTGCAATCACTGGGTAAGGCTAAGTGGCCCTGAGGTCAAGACTGGGGAGAAATGGTTTCCTAACTTCTAAGGACTGGCTGGGAGAAAGCCCACCATACTCTACTCCCATGGCCAGGGAGTTCCCTTAGGGGGACATACGTGAAAGCAGCAGTTGATTCTCTTAGGAACAAAATTATGCCCACTACAGAGCCAGCCCCGCAAAGATCACTGTTATTGCACTGGCACTGCGACAAAGGCACCAGTGCCAGGCTGCCAGCTGGGACCACTGATTATGGGTGATGGAAGAGAAAGAATGCTTCTGTCCCTGGCACAGGATGAGAACCCCAAAGAATGGATGTTTATGCATAAAATAACCTCTTGTTTTTGCCTAAATGCTTCCATCTTTTTGTCCCTACGATCATTTTAAGTAGTATGGAGACAAAGAATTTGCTCATTTATATAGGAATAAAGAGTGTGCAGAGATTCAGAGTTGGCCTGTCACAGGCCAATTATCTGTACCACTAGAGCCCTTTTCCCAAGAGCAAACTGCAGATTTGCTTGAAATTAATAATGGTTCATCAGCCATTCATTACACATGTAATTAGCCTGGGTGAAAACAGATGCCATTTCAATGTCCTTGACATCAATTTTTTCCACTCCCAAGTTATCATCACCCACACACTCTTCTTCTGCTTTTCCTACTCAAGTCTGATAAACTCCCACATTCCAGATTGGGAATAGTGGTTGTATCCTTGGTGGGTTTGACTGCATATACGCAATACTTGAGTGTTCACATGCATGGAGGCAAAAGTTCATTTTTTAACTACAACTTTGGAATGTAGTTGCCTTCACCCTGTGTTCTAAACCCCTTCTTGAGTAGAACCAAGCTAGATAATGGCACAAAGGAGGAAAGTAAAGAACCACCAGGTGGGAAGCAGGCATATGATGGAAACTAGCAGAATTTCATGCTTCTGCTAATGGGACCCAATCCTGAGCAAAGTCTTCTCAACTCTACCAGTGAAGGCTTGGTTGTCCATAGTATGAGGATGACAGTGCAGCACTTCCACACCAGTCTTAGGAACTAAAATCTTACTCAGGGTTGAGAAAGTGGAACCTTAAAGAATGGCAGGCACACAAACCACAAACGTCTTCAGTCCTCATACAGCGCTGGCCCGCAGTAAGACAGGAGCGCTGAGAATTCTAGAGGAGGCTCAAGTTCATCAAGTGTAAGGGACCACAGGTACCCAAGGATAGCACACTCGAGCCATCAGGTGCCCTGGGGAGTTTAGAAGGACAAGGGAGAGAATGGCAGTGCCACTGTCTTGTTAGAATCTTCCTTAACGGGAACTGAGGACAGGACTCTCAGATCCAGTTATGAAGCCCACTAATCCCAACCAGCACCTGGCCTGCCTGGAGCACTGGGGCTGACAGAACAAGCTCTAAGGTGAGAACCTGAGGTCCCCAGGGTAGAAATCTTGTTTTTCACCATATCCCCAGTGCCTAGAACCACAGCTAGCATACAGCAGGTGCTCAATAAATATTTGTCAAATAAAATGAACAAACACCATGAGCATGGCTAATGGTATCGAAGAAAGCTCAGGGAAGAGCTCTCCATCAGTAGGTAGGGGGACCCATCCTTCAGAAGATTCTTTTATTAAAACTGGGTGACATCGATAAGGGGACAGTACAAAAAAAATTTTGGTCCATGAAAAAAACATAATAATTCAATTAATAAAAAGTTATCTTCAGGGACACTGTGTAGGAGTGCTGAGCTTCCTTCTCATGGTTCCAGCCCCAGGGACAGAGGCTGTCTGTCCAGTGCCACTCTGGGGAGAACCTTGCAAGGGAGGGGTGGGATAATGACAGGAAGGGGAAGACAGGGAGGAAGTTCTGCTGTCCCCAGCGTGGGACAGTCAGGGATACAGGGCTGGGGGTTGTGCTCGCAGAAGCCTGAGGAGCGGGTGGGGAAGCAGGGGCTTTTGTCAGTTCTGCGGGTTTAGAGCCCATGCTGAACGGAATTCCCCCTCTGTGCCCAGCTGTCTCCCACCCTGCTGTGTTGAGTCTGCGAGCCTGGGATATGCTAACCCAGGGGTGATACAACCTGGAAGAAGAATTTGAGGCTCTCCTGGAAAGATGCAAAACCATCTCAGTTGCAAGGGGCCAAGATCACAAGGTCCTGCTGCTACCTGAGGGGTCTGAAGCTTTTGAGGGCAGGGGCTGTCACAATCCTGTGAGGCAGGGAGAGGGAAGAGTCACAAACCCAACTCAGAGCTATTCTCCAGCCCTAGGCGCTTTCACTCCTCAGTGCCCTAGAAGTCACCGGTGGGTGTCAACTGGGCAGACAAGGGACAGGAAGACAGGGATGGCCCAGGGCTTTTACCCGTTTGATTTTAGGCCTGTTTCTCCATGAAAGGATGGGGGAGGCAGGGTGGAATGAATGAATGAGTCACACCTCCAAGCAACAGCAGGAAGGAACAGCCTCTGCTGGCAATGACAGTACCCTAGGTGAGGGCCCTTGGGGCTCTGACAGGGAAAGGCAAGATTCCCCCACTCAAATGCCCTGGGTTAGGACAGGTAGGAGGGAATCCTAAAAAGCAGCTACAGGGAGTGTGGTGAGAGGGAGCAATACTAAGAGAACAAACTCCAATACTGAGGTGGACCCCCTACGAGGGAGTAAGAGAAGCACTGAGACAGCAGGCCAGTCCAGAGGGCTGCGGACTGACCTGGGGCTCAGTGGAGCCCAAGAACCAGGATTCCTCTAGTGCTAGAGGGCAACAAGTGAAGAGACAGTTTGCTCCAAACCTGTGGAGGGAAGGAAGGAAACTGGATTCTGTCATCAGGAAAGCCAAGATCTACTAGCTTATAGAGTGCCCCCAGGCCTGAGTCTCGGAGAAGGGGCTAAAGCTCCCAACTCCTGGGTCTCTGAAGGGCAGGATCAGTGTAGCTGGTCCCCTTGAAGACCACTTGGCCTTAGGCCCAATCCATTCAATGCACTGATTACCACTACGGGTTCTCTCTCTAATACTATCTAGAGGTCCTATGCAGACCAGGGGAGGGTACAGGCACATGGGAACTTTGTGGGGCAAAGGGAAGCTGGGGGTAGGAAGGGATGGGGTGGGAGAAGAGGGTAACAGGTATCATGTGAGACCCTCTTCATTCTGGTGTTGTCCTAGAACCAACAGCATCCCCTGGAAGGCCCCAAGCAAGACCAAGGCAGGTGCTATGAGGCAGGCAGCACAGGGCCCAGATAAAGAAATCGATGCAGCCACATCAGGGCTGTGGGAGAAGCCCTATGTATTTCGGATTCCCAGGGCTTGCTCTAATTCTTGTCGTCTCTGCTGCACCTAAGGAGAAAATAGTGGAGGGAGTGGAAGATGAGACAAACCAGAAGTTGGTACCTAACACCGCTGACCCCCATCAAGGGTGCAGAGCCCTTGCCTGTTGTCAGTTTCTCCTGTGCACCCCCAGGTGCCTACCTTGGAGTAGAAGTACCGGCACACGGCCTCCTGCGCCCAAGGCTGGAAGTAGAACTCAGCTCGGCGCTCTTCCTCTGGGTTACCCACCACATCAGTCATGGTCTGAGGGAGACGGGAGGGGGAAGACACAGAAGAGACTTGTTTCCTTCCTTGTCATCTGTGATGGACTGAATTGTATCCCCTAAAAGATGTTGAAATCCTAGCCCTCCCAGTACCTGTGAATGTGACCTTATCTGGGAATAGCGTCTCTGCAGATGATCAAGCTAAGATAAGGTCATTAGGGTGGGCCTAATCCAGTATGATTGGTGTCCTTATAAAAGGGGAAACTTAGACACAGAGACAGACATGCAGGGAGGAAAGATGGTATGAAGACATATGGAGAACACCATCTGCAAACCAAGGAATGCCTGAGGCTACCACAAGCTAGGAGAGAGGCCTGGAACAGACTCTCCCTCCCAGCCCTCAGAAGGAACCAAACCCTGCTG